TTCGTTCTCTCTGCCGCTCCATACTTCTAGCCTAAAAGGGCGATGTTTCAAGCATCGTTTGCATCGCTCACCTTGTCCCACTCCTCATCGCTCGCGACGATGCTGCCTGTAGCTGTGGCCACCGCCTTCGCCGTCGCATCTCCCACCCTGCCCCCGCTTCTGCTCCATTCCTCATCGCTCTCCTCCTCCTCACGATCGACGTTGGCTTCCTTGCGCTCTGACATGGCAGCACCAGTCTTTGCGTCAAATTGCGCCTTGCTCTGCAAGGTCGAGCGCTGCGCGGCCGTCGACGTGGATGCGGATGCGGATGCGGATGCGAAAGCGGAAGGCGAAGGCGAAGGCGAAGGCATGAACCAGGTTCCGCTGCCTGAGAAGGACTCCCATTCCGCAGCGGTCTGGAGGCCCAAAGAGGAGTTGGATGTGCTTCGATGCTGTGAAATTGCGCTTTGCGCACCAAGCTCGGCACTGCCGATAGATCGAGCAGGATCTTGCAACGTCATGGTGGAAGATTGGTTCCTCAAGCTCGGCTGCATGCTACGACCGTCCGGGTGCAGGTGCGTGGATGGTCTTGGGTAGTCAAGCTCATCATCCTCGAACGGATCCTGTACTGTGGCCTTAGGTGAACAATTGACGGCAGCAGATTTTGGCGCCGCATTCATCCCTTCTTCATCCCCAACCATCTCCTCATCTTGATCTCCATACCCTCCATCTGTACCTCCTCCATCCGACATTGCCCACACACTGTCTGGCGGAGATACAAATGTAAAAGGATCTCTCCTCTCGCCATTGCCATCTCCGTTCACATCGCGAGAGGAGATGGAAGGGGTGTAGAGCGTTGTTGGGGGCGCGTCCAAATCCGAGATTTCGGAAGCGGAAGCTCTACCGACGGAAGAATGCGTAGTGGGTGAAGCAGCAGCAGCAGCAGCAGCAGCAGAGACGTTGTCGCTCGCGTCTGCGAGATCTGAATGCAAGGTGTTGGTGCAGGAAGAAATGGAACGAGGAGCAGCGCTACCTTGTGCCACATTCCACTCTCGCACATCGGTATGAGCAGTCGATGATACGTCGGGTAAGGACTTGTTCTGGATGCTGGGCGATGCGTTTGTCGAGGCGCTAGGTGAGCCGATGAGATGATGAGGGTGTTGCGGGTCGTGTGGCGAGGCGATGGCACTAGACTTGGATGGTGGTGAAGGTGGACGAGGCAAATCCTTCTGTTTAGCAGAGGTGACGAGGCTGGAAGATGAGTGGCTGTAGGGTCTAGAAGCGCGATCGAGCATCGTCTGCGAGCACAGCAAAAACGGCGACTTAGCCGAAGCGCAAAAGGGCCAGTGCAAGCTCAAAGCAACACGCTCACCATCGATGAATCGCCTTGCGGCCTTTTGCTGCGCGAGGACGTGCTGCTGCTGTTGCTGCCGCCATTGCTAGTTACACTTTGATCAAACTCTCGCTTCATCCGTTGCCTCATCCTTATCACATCCCTTTCGTGCATCTCAAACTCCTCGATCTCCTTTTGAAGTTCTCTCAAATCCCTCTCTTCCTCTCTCTGTTGTCTGTTCAAGTTCCTCCTTCTGAGCGCATCATTCTCCTCACGCGCACCAGTGGCGCTCGCACGCGCATCATGCTCGTCTTCCGATCCGCTTTCGCTCTCGCTTTCGGTCTGATCGACCACTTGACCGTGTTGATCTCTGCTCTGCCTCCTTCTTCTCCTCCTTCTTGTGCCGCTTGTGGCAGTATGATCATAGCCTGTATGCGCCCGCCTATCACCCGTCAACTCTCTCAGATCCTGTTTGAAAGTGTGCCACTCTGACTTGACTCCTTGTAGTACGCCATCTGGCCAATTCTCTTCTCTCCACGGTTTGAACACGCTCAGCTCGAAGGCTACGGCTGCTGCTACGCCTGCCGTTACTGCGCTCGCTATCACTGCTGGATGCACCATCCTTAAGCGCAAAGGAGAGCGTGTGGGGGGGGGAGTGGATGTGGGGCTGCAAATGGTGAAGAAGGACGAGTGGATGTCGTGTGCGTGTGTGCGTGCAGCGAGCGGGTCTAGCGACGTTGGTGCGGTGCAGATGAGATGTGCGCCTGCGTGCGTGCTCCAGTGAGTGTAGTAGGGATGGTGCCGTTGCTGATGCACGAAGCCCAGCCCATCGTCTATGTCTATCACCCGGCCTTGCAATCGTGACACCACTCACCATGTGACTCAGACACACTTTGACTCACAATCCAATCCCTCCTCACGCCTCGCTTACCTGCTGCTACGTACGTGCGACGCTACGCCGCGTGTCGCCGCCGCCGCTGATCGCCTGCTCTGCTCTGCTCTGCTCTGCTCCGGGCCGTGAGTTGTTGATGTCCAAATTCATGCACAGCCCCCCGTCCCGCACCGCTGTCCATGCATACATAGATGTGCGAGAGCAGGGACCAAGCATGCGAGGACCCTGCTGCCTGGCCACCACCACCTCGACCTCGATCTATACTCTGCCGTGAACTCAGCATCAGCTCAGCAGCTCTACAAATCGGGCTGCGTCGTCACTGTGACTCTTTCTCGTACGAAAAGGCATCTATGATATTTGATACGATATGATCGTGCACGGCCCGATTTGCGCGCGGCAGGCGCGCCTCGTGACTCAATTGAGTTACAGGCCTATATATATACCTATAGCTCTCGACTCGTGACTCACACTCGTGACTGTGACTGCTGTGCACGCAGCCCGCGCTGCCCGCCGTATGTTGATCCGCGGCAAGGGGAGCGAGCGGGATTCATCTTCGAGGGCGCGCACACATGCACACAACATTTGCTTGTGCCCATGGATGGCCACCCGCACAGCAACCACGCATAGCTTCCATACTCGCTCGCCCGCACCTTCACGCCCATACGCCTTCCCCCGCCCATCTTCACGAACGACGATTTGAGCGCGCGCACCACCAGTCTTGCGCTGCGAGGCGACGACGACGAGCTTGCTATCATGGGTACGTATCCCTCAGATCGTAGCTTCACCCTTACGCGCCCAGGCGGCTCATCTCTTTTCCCCCTCTGTCTCTCTCTCTCTCTCTCTCTCTCGCGCGCGCGCGTGCTCGACAGATGCCGCTCTACAAAAAGCACTGGTGGATAGAGTGTACGATCGGAGGAAAGCTGCGACGCTGGATCTTGAAAAGTGAGTTGAAGGGGGAGCGGTGCTTTTGATGGGATGGAATGGAATGGAATGTATGCGCGCTTCGAAACTCAAAAATGATGCTCGTACCTCGTACGCACCTACCTGCTGCTACTGCTGCTGCTGCTGCTGCTGCTGCAACCCACAACAGACAAGTGCGAGAAGCGCTTCAACGCAATGACAGGAGCCGCATCAACCTCATCATTCAACAGTTGTGCGCTCTCCTATCCACGCCTGCCAACAATCATGCGCGCAATGGTGGATTGATAGGTCTGGCTGGCATCGCCATCGCGTTGGGAATACAAATTGCTCCTTATTTGGAACAAATCGTACCCCCCGTCTTGGCTTGCTTTGGCGATCCCGATAGCAAGATTCGGTGAGATTAGAGGTGGTGCAGGACCTGGACCAGCGCGCCTTCGTTGCAACTCATCTTGACCGCCTGCCCCACCGCGTGCAACAGCTACTTTGCGTGCGAAAGCTTCTACAACATCGCAAAAGTTTGCAAAGGCGAGATATTGATGTACTTCAATGAGATCTTCGATGCTCTGTCCAAGGTGAGTTCGCGCGCTGATGACCAACCTTATCTGGCCCTGTCTGTCGCGCCCGCTCACTTTTCCCTTTCTCGCCCTGTCCCCCAAAGCTCGCAGCAGATTCCGAACTTTCTGTAAAGAACGGTGCAGAGCTGCTGGATAGACTGCTCAAGGATATCGTCTGCGAGGCTGCACCTCACTACGTCTCTGCCCACCAAGACATCGCACTCATTCGATCTCGGCAAGATGCTGCGGCAGGGTACGCGGGTGGGAGCGCAGAGTTGGAGGTGGCCAGGGAGAAAGCAGCCTTGGCCGCAGCAGAAGGCATCGACGTATCATCGGACGAGTCTAGAAACAAGGTGTTCAGTCTGGCTCGCTTCGTGCCTCTCTTGGCAGAGCGCATGTACGTCCTATCGCCTTTCACCAGGACTTATTTTGTCAGCTGGTTGATGGTGCTGGACTCGGTACCTGATCTGGAACTGGTGCATCACTTGCCTGCCTTTTTGGATGGACTGCTCAAATACCTCTCCGATCCCAACACCGACGTCCGAGTCGCTACGCATAACGTCCTTGCGGACTTCTTGAGGGAATGCAAAGCTGCCGCTAGAGCTCAATTGCGCTTGAATCCTGGCACGCGGAGCCAAGCCAAACAGCCGGTCAAATTTGCCCAGGAAACTTTGGCTAAGCAAGGAGCGGCAGGTAGAATAGCTGCAGAGGTTGAAGAGGGGCACAATGCGGAGCGCGACGAAGAAGAGGACGAAGAGGAGGGAGATGGTGCATTGGCGGTCGACGACGCTTCGGAGGATGTGTGGCTTCCGGTGCAGAGCGTGAGCATAGACTATGCAGCGATCGTTCAAATCTTGGTGAATCACATCGCCTATCCGGACGAGGAAATTCAAGCGACGGCTCTGCAATGGATCTCGGAATTCTTGCTCGTCGTCAAGGACGTAGTGGTGCCTTTTACGCCTAGGCTCATTCCCGCCATATTGCCGTCCATCGCTCATCATAGTCCGGCCATCCAGAATGCGGCCCAGGCGACGAATGGCAACTTGTTCAGAGTGCTGCAGGGCCTGCCAATGGAGGATAGCTCCAAAGCCAGTGCGACTGCGTCGTCATCGAGACAGACGATGAAAAGTGTGCAGGGAGATGCGAAGCGGGAGCGAATGGCAACTGCCGGGCTGACGGCTCCGCCAAGTGGCAAAGTCTTAGAGCCATCCTCGCCAAGCCTCACTTCGACTGTGATCTTTCCCGACAATACGACGGACACGCGATCACCTCAACTCTCCCCGAGCCTGAAAGCGCAAGCCTTTTCGCTTGCTGCTGGTGATGTCGATAACGAAGTAGGCGCTTTTTCGGCTTTGGGCATCGACGCTAGCGGCAGTGCGACAGGAGCTGAGCCGAGCGTGGAACCGTTCGATCTGCAAGCGACGGTCAATGTCCTGACGGTGCAGCTTATAGATGAGCACGAGGAGACGCGGGTAGCAGCTCTGGGATGGCTGCTCATGCTGCACCAAAAAGCTCCTCACAAGATCCTGGCCATGGACGACGGCACCTTTCCAGCGCTGCTCAAGACGCTTTCGGATCCGAGCGAAGAGGTCATCCGATCTGATCTGCGTCTTTTGGCCCAGATCAGCAGCGCCAGCAGCAGCAATAGCAACGATGCGTACTTCAAAAGCTTCATGATCAACCTCGTCAGCCTTTTCAGCACGGATCGACGCTTGCTGGAGACGCGCGGCAGCCTGATCATTCGTCAGCTGTGCGCCAGTCTGCACACTGAGAGAATCTTCCGCACGCTCGCAGAGATTTTGGAACGAGATGAGGATTTGGAATTCGCGAGCGTCATGATCACCAACATGAACATGATCCTCATCACCAGTCCCGAGCTTGCTGATTTCCGACGCAGGCTGAAGAACCTCGACTCATCTAGGGATGGTCAACAGCTGTTTGTCAGCCTGTATCGCAGTTGGTGCCACAATGCTGTGGCGACGTTTAGCCTCTGCTTGCTTGCTCAAGCCTACGAGCACGCGTCCAACCTCTTGCAAATTTTTGCCGATTTGGAGATCACCGTTGGCTTCTTGATCCAGGTGGACAAGCTGGTGCAGTTGCTCGAGAGCCCCATCTTTACTTCTCTTAGGCTGCAGTTGCTCGAACCTGAGCGGCATCCTTACCTGTTCAAGTGCATGTATGGTCTGCTCATGCTCCTTCCTCAAAGCTCAGCTTTTGCGACGCTCAGGAATCGTCTCAACGCCGTCAGCAGTCTAGGATTCTTGCACGCCAACGCTGCATCCAGCAGGTCCATGCAGGGAAGTGGCAGCAGCGCAACAAGCGCGAACGCGAACAGTACCTCATCTGCTTCTTCCTCTTCCTCCTCCGCATCTGGGCAGGTGGCAGGAACTCGCAGCAAATTGGTGGCTAGCAGCAATAAGGAGGAGATCAAGTGGACGGAATTGTTGACGCACTTCAGAAAGGTGCAGAGCAGACATGAAGCTGCTAGACGCGCGGGACAAGCGGGAGCTGCGGGAGCAGACGGATCCGCGCTTGTTCCTGGCATGGCGGGCATACATTTGGAAGGCGGCAGCAGCAGCGCTTCGAGTGCGCCTAGATCGCAAATTGCTGCGGCTGCGGCTGGTGGTCTTGCGTCCAATCAACAAAGACGCAAAGCGAGCAATGGCGCTGCACATTTGAGGAATTTGAATTTGAGCAGCGCTGCTTCCAACGCGAACAGTGCTGGCTTTGCGCCACCGTCTGCTGCTGCTGGTGGTGGTGGTGGTAGGCACTCGAACCACGCACCAGCCACCAACGCCACCAATTCCTCCTCCTCGCCTTCCTTCTTTGGACTCAGTCTGACAGGCGCGGCTTACAATTCGGCCAACTCCCCCTCGTCCTCTGGTGCGCTTGGATCTGGACCGGCCAATAGACCTACTTCTCCCTTGTCCGCTAGACGATCTAATGCTGCGCCTGGCACGAGGGTGGTTAGCAATGCGCCTGCCAAGAGATAGCTTTGCCCATCGAAAGAGGGGAGCAAGAGGAGCAGCACGCGCTTGCTTCTCTTTTGTGTTGTCTCGCGTCACCGTGTAATGTGACCAATTCGTCCACGTCTCTCTCTTCCCAAAAACGTCGACAAAAATGATGGGCTGCTCTTGACTCGCCCATACAGTCTGCATGCGCATGCCTATATGTGTACCGTACCGAGCTACATAGGTACGCACTGTGGGGACCGTGGGCGGCCGCTGCGCCGAGTCGTCGGGTGCTATCGTAGGGTCTGCGGTGCGGTTCCCGGCAAACACAACGCTAGTGGGTGAGATGCCCCTTGCCACTCGCGAGCAGTCCCCCTTGGGCTGTGCGCCACCTGTGCTGCGCAGTGCGCATAGCGTCATCTCTTCCGCCTAGCTCCACCGTCGGATTATTTTCAGGTGAGAGAAAGCGATGCCCACGCTTGCTTGCATGGAACAAGATGTCAAAGGAAATGCCTTTGGTCGCTCTTCTGTATCACTTTATACTTTTCCTTGTTTTTCTTTGACTCTGCTCTGTCTTCCTGGCTTCTAGCTTCTTCCCTAGCCTGGCTGGTCCGAGGTTAGCGAGGCTGCTGTGATGCTTCTCACGCCTTTTCAAGCCGTACTTGGATCTCATAGCGCTCAATCCTGCTTCTCAACGTCATCACATGTTCTCGTCAGCCGGCCTTTGCGACTCTGGAGTCGAGGAACAAGCCGCGTCTGCATCTGTATCTGTATCATGCCGGATGCGTCCTGCCAAGCACACATCGAGCGCCGCATCTCGAATTGCTACAGCTGAACACTCTTCGAAGGGCAAGAACGGAGGCGAAGGGTGTAGCAAAAGTTCGGCCGCTGCCTCTCCCTCCGGCTCCGGCTCACTGGGCGCGGAAGGCCAATTGGGCCTGACTACCAATTTCAGAGATGGGCTGCACGTCAAAGCTATTCCGGCTGCTGCTCATGCCAGAAGGATCAAACATCCTTTCAAACCTCGATTTCTCCGTGCGCGCATCGTCGCTGCTGAAAGTGCCACACAACAAGAGGTGCAAAGGAGTAGTGGCAGAGGTGTGGCCGATGTCGATGTCTCTGCGGCACCGCATCGGCAGAAGAGAACGTATATGGTTCAGTCTAGTTTTAGCAGTGATGCTCGCTCTTTCTCCGATGCGTCAAGGCTGAGCCGATGGAGGAGAAGCTGGGGAATCACAAGCATGTCTACAGCATTCGGAAGAGTAGCCATGATCTGCATGGCCGAATTCACGGCAAATCTGATCATCGCCTTACCGGCAGCAATGATCAAGATCCTGCTTTGGTACTACCAAAACAAGTCCTTGCCAACGCTGGGACACTTGCTCAGCGCGTTGACATACGCGTCGAGTATCTGCATTGCCATTGCAGTTTGCGTGCCTAGTCGAGGCGCGCACGTCAATCCTTGCATCACTATCCTCGCTGCAGCTCTCGGCGCTCTGACCTGCAGCTGGTGGGAGGCGATATCTCGTATCACCGCCCAGATCCTTGGTTGTTGGGCAGGCTGCATGCTAGCTGTCTCGACGTGCTGGGACATCATCGCGGATCTGCGTCAGGTGGTCAGGGCTAGTGGAAGGCTGGAGAGCTTCTTTGTTCCACATGGTTTAGCTCGCTCGTTTGCTGTCGCTAGCACTCCTGGAAGAAGCACTGGGCTGGCCGTCGTTGGTGAAGCGTCTGGAGGATTCATTGCAGGTGAGCAAATGCGAGTGCGCTGCATGTGCTCGGACCTGCCCTCGGCTGACAGGAATACCTGCAGCTTTGGTGATTTGCGTCAATGTCCAGGGTCTCAGGCAGCCCCAGCTCATCAGATCACAAGGCGCATTCGTGATGTGAGTCGTGATTTAGCTCAAGCACCTTTGTCACCGAGCTCATTTGGACCCTTTTGTTTGTGGCACCTTCCTCAGCGGCGCCACATACTCTCTTTTATTCTTGATGAACTCGTTGGGCCCATTCGTAGGATCGTGAGTATGTGTGAAGAGTCGTCGCGATGCGAATCAACGCTAGCAGAGCACGAAAGCTCATGCAGACGCATCTAATCAGGAGTGCCCTCGACATTGGTGGCAGATTGGCCTGCTCTGTGAGTATCGCGATGATCAAGTGCGCACGAAACGCGTTTGCTCACCGTTAGCTCGTGCAGGTCGTCTTTTTTGGTGCCGGGCAATGCTGGCCGGTCCGCTTTGTCTTGCATGCCTTGCTCTCACCAACGCTTGGGGTGCGTGCAGCCATGATTTCGTGATGACGCAGACAGCGTACTGAAGATGCCCCCCTCCACAGATGCTCCTAGGTTTTGGATGGTATGCGCTATTTTTAGAGCCAAGCGCGAGGGCCAACACGGCGGAATCCTACCCATCCGAAAGATCAGCTCGTCCCGAAACGGCTCGAGGGTCATGTCATGACGTACCTCCAGGTGAAGGCTCGCCTCTGCGCTTCGGGTCGCCGCCTCCCCCTCGGCGCTTCAGAGAAGTATGCGTCGGTGCGGCATTCCCACCACAGCAGTCCTTGCACCGCGGAGATTCTGACATCATGTGCGGTGCCTGTCACAAAGCAGCTTGCTCACTATCTGACGAAGGCCATCTGAACTCGCCAGCGATCCAATCATCTGTGTCAGCGAATAGTACTCCTGCCCAGCAGTCGTCACCACAGACAGCTGCCCTTCCGGAGAAGTCAAGACAGAACAAGCCTCAGAGAAGCGCTGATATCCGTATAGACCATAGATCAATGGACAAGGAGGACGGCGACGTTGCGTCTGCCGCGCTTCACTACCAGAGCAGCCCACCTCCTACAATGGCACGCAGCACCAAGTGCCCGAGTGCACTGCAGGATCGCCGCGGAAGCACCGAGACACAGTGCGCCCTGATGAAGACTGTGCCACCCTGCTGGACTTTCGAGATCGAAGAAAGCAGTGCATTCCCAGCAGATGTGGGCAGCGAAGAGCACCTCAGCGACACCGGAGCAGCGCCATCATTGGGTTCTGGTCGCCAAAGCATCGAAAGCGGAAGTGAATGCGAGGATGACGACAGCGATAGCAGTGGAGAGCTATTCAGGTGCGGCATGAATGGCTTCCCAAACTACCCGACCTCGTCGGCAGATCCGTACACCCATGCGGGCGGCGTCAACAGCGTAGCTTGGCCGACCGTCGTCAATGCCTCAACGCATCGGCATGGATCTGCGACAGGTATGAACAGGAGCAGCTGGACGTCGGATGTCAGTGGTGACGTCAACTTGTCTCGGAGGTCTCGGACCCTCTCGACAATTTCAGAAAAGTCGAGCACATTGGAGAGAGGAGGCAGTTCGAGCAGTCTCCAAAGCGGACGCGTTGTGCAGCGATGGGTTGAACATGAGACATGCTCATCGATCCACGAAGGGGCAAATCTGTTCGGCGGCAGCCCTGTTCAGGCTCGCACTGCAGCGTCTGAAGACTTCGAGGCCACCATGCGGACGAATTATCCGGGGACGTGCACCACGGATGTGAGGGACGCACTCGAATCGTCCCTGCCGCTCTCCTCTTTACGGATGGCTGCGACATCTAGTGGAGCAGGGAACCTCGAGCAGAACGGCTCGCAAGTCATAGATCTCGACTGCGCCGCGACCCATCAAGCAAGGTGTGGTCAAAGTCCAAGCGCGAGCGCCGAGCAAATAGCAACTCTGCAAGACCGGCTTGAACAACTCAAGCGACGTCAGGAGCGAGAACAAGAGCAGCTCGACTCGATCCTCAAGAGACGGAGTCAAGAATTATTCGGCTCGTCTTCATCTTCTTCGAGCAGAAAGCAGGGCATCCCATACATTCGTCCCGGCTTTGACGCCTCAACAACCAGTCCTGCCTCTTCTCCCGGAAGGGCGGCAGTGCTTTTGACAGGCGCAGACATAGAAGAACAGTCTCCGCGACGAGCGCAGCAGAAGCGCGATGCAGGTCTTGTGGATCGGGGACGGACTTCCGACAAGGACTGGCTCGAGGCGTTGCGTAGCCATGGCTTCGCTGATTGAGAGTGCCGAATGGTCGCGCAGCTCGAGCCTGGGCTGGAATGCTACGCAAGTGTTGCAGCAGCATCGTGTCTCGTCATTCGACCTCGCTGCCTGCGTAGAAATGTGCCGTACGGCACGTCGGCTGGCTTGTCGAATTGTACGGCCAGCGCTCGACTGGCATACCGCCAAGACTCGACTCAGCAAGTCTTGAGTTGCGGATGCACGTCGAAGGTTTTGCGTGACAGCGGTGGCTTGCACATCCAACGTGAGGTCGGTCTCTTATGCATGGCCACGAACACGGCCTATGCTCACACGATCAGCGTGTGCCACCCGCGATCCCGAGCGAGACATCATTCACGAATATGAGTATCAAAGCTGTTGCCCGAGAAATGCAATGCGGATCAGGCTGTCACTGGACGGCTGTCAAGCCGGCGATGGAGCAGATTCGCGCGATTCAGTCACCACCCCTTCGCTCCTTGCGAAATCTACACCGCGGACGTCCGAGCGCGCACTGTCGAAGCTGCACGGCATTCCTGTCTCACTACGCCGAAGAAGGCGGCGGGCGCATATGACTCCAAACCTCGCAGCTCTTTGGAATAAAGTCAATTGTGATTGCTCGTCGCTCGTCCAAGCACACATGAACTGATTGCAACGAATGCGAGGAAGGCTGCGCGCGAGTGAGACTCCTCTTGGTGCCCACATCAGGTCCCATGCTAGTCGGACACTGCTGCCTGTGCGTGCCTGCCTGACTACGGAAGTGGGTCCCACGGCGCGGCGAGTCGCTCATCATGCAGTCCAAAGTGGGACTTTGTGAGCGCGATCGACAATATCTCTCTCTGCACGTTTGCGAGCGAATGCAAGCGAATGATGTGCGTGCGGATGCGCGCGCGTTCCTTGACGCTTGCCTGCCTAGCGCGACGGTATATGCCGTAGCTTGCACGGCCGAACTCTTCGCCCGACGTTGTACTGTATAGCGGCCCGATCTGCATGAGCTAATGCCTGCACAGTAGCGACTTTGGCCTATCCCAAGGCTCTTGCAGTGACAGTCATAGAAACGGCATTTGCGATCATGCTCGCGGCGAGTTCACTGATGAGGCCGGCCGCCTATACGCGCACCCAGGCACACGGTATCAATCGACCGCAATCACCGCGTCGATTTGACCACACTGATGTGACTCACTCACTCACACACACACTCACACTCGACTCACTCGATCGTCTCTCTCTCTTGTCCTTGATCTCGTGCTGCATGTATTGTGATGATCCGTGAGTCGACGACTGGAATTCAAGGGACACCCCACAAGATGCAGCATGCAGTAGGCCACAGCATGCACATGAGCGGAATTTCTCGCCAAAGACGCATGCATGCAAGATTGCGCCCACCTGCAGCGGACCTCCATTAATTGCACGATATATGCTTTTCGCAGCTCTGACTTGAAAGTGTCCGGCTCTACACTTACACGCTGCATGGTGCTCTTTTCACGTCTTTTCCCTCTTGCCTGGCAGCTGGACTGCGAGACTGCGATCGAGCGTTGCGAAAGCGATTCGATTGGAAGGCATCGGAGGAGGAGGTCCGATCCATGACCGGCTCCCACAGCAGGCTGCAGCTGACTTTGAAGAGCCTCAGCACGGGTAGCGGTAAACAGCATGCATGCTGCCTAGCTGCAGCATGTATAGCCTGCGGTTTGGCTGATGCACGTACAGTCGCGAGTGCTAACCTCGAGGTCGCCCGCGTCAGGCGCGCCGAGAGGGAGAGAGCGATCGAGCGGCATAGGTAGATGAGACGTTTTCAAAATTCATTCTGGCGCCATATCCTACCCCGTACGCGCCGCGCGAGCGCATGCGGTATAGCTTCAGACCTTTGCTTTGCACTTCCTTTTGAGGGCGATATATGGCACACGCTTGCTTCATCACAGACCCGCGCTCTCATGGCTCTTTGCATGCTTGCATGCTTGCATGCTTGCATGCTTGGCCACCCTTGCTGGAGTCCGAGACAGCCTTGAACAGGAACGGCGCACAACGGCTGCAAAGGGCTTATAGCGAATGTGTATGCCATCTCATGCAGCATGTGTACGCATTGAATTCCAAATATTTACGTGAGAGCCCCAGCCAGCATCCACGCGACTGTCTCCGGTGGGCACCTCGTGGTCGGGCATCCCGGGCATCATGATACCTTGTGGTCATCATCACTTACCTTGTGGTCATGGCATCACCACTTCTCTCTTTCATCCCATAGCCAGCCGACCAATATGCCGTTCGACTAAGGTTGCCCCATGTTCTAGGTGACCGCTCCATCATCGCAACCTCGACGGCGATCTTGCAATGTACTGCCATCACCGCATCTGGCACCAACACTACCCTTTAACACGCTACGAGTCTAGCAAAGAGCTCTGAGATTCAAGGGCCAAGAGCAGCACTCATATCGTGCTCTCAAGAGGTAGAAGTAGAGCAAGCATCCGTGAGTCCATCGCCGAGCCGAGGAGGGTCGTCGTTGCTGACCTCCGCTATCCATCGGTCACATTGGCGCTGAATGCAGAACACAGATAGACATAGCGCAGCTTGAATTTTCGGGCTGCGGTCTTCTGCATCATCCCGATGAATTCGGTCGTTGGAGGAAGAACACGGCCCTCATCGGTGTGGATCAATAACCTTTGTTCAGATTCTTTACCTTCGCCATACGATTCTGCGCGAGATACTCCCGCGGGGTCGCCATGGAGGCACTCGGCATCGGCATCCCCGTCCAGCTCTCGCTCCGACCTCACAGGCTTTGTGTCCCCTCGTCGCACCTCTCCGTCGGGGCAAGCGAGTGCTGACAATGCTTGTGAAAGGCAGAGCTCGTCAGCTGATCTTCCCACCGCTCGCTCGGTGTCGACGGCAAGATGGAGAGAGGAAAGGTCGCCTCTGACGCGGTCCTTATCCGTCGGCTCAGATGCGACAAGTCCTGCCACCATCCATTTCGCTTCACGCACTTGCAGAGAGTCGGCGCGATTTCGTCGAAGCACTTTGCAAATGCGAGGTTGCAGTGCGAACAATTCGCCAGCCATGCCGGTCCAGGCGTTACCGCAGCCCGGTCCGCCAAGTCCGCGCTCCACGCACGACTTGCCACCGCGGTTGCGGAATCGCCCGTCAGCTTTGGTGCTGGTGCCGCAAGAATCTCTGTATCCATCTGTCGAGATTGAAAGGACACCGCAGACGACATCGCAGAGCAGCGGGTATTCCCTGTCTCGCGATGAAGCGCATTCTCCCACTGCTCGCATGGCGCAGAGGTCGAGTGATCACCACTCGGCTGCTCGACCTACTTCATTCACGCCCACCTCACCCGTACATGATCAGGTCCATCAGAATTTTGCGCGAAGTAGAGCAGAGACAGAAGCTTTGGTCTCGATGGGCAAGCCCTGGCATATAGCGACTAGAGGGGTGGTGCGGACCACTCCTGGTGCAGCGTCCCCCGGCGCTGGTGACGAGGGCTTATCGAAGGCCGGCACGGGCAGCAAGTCGCAAAGCGAAGGTCCGGAAGGCGTCCGATTAGCTGAATCTGTCGGTCGCGGCCCGTCAAGAGGTGCGCCTCAAATCGCTCGTGGTGCCGGTACGGCGTACCTAACTCCGTGGGATTATCAAGAGCCCACAAAAGGCCTTCTGGAGATGCTTGCAAGCGATCCTGCATCCGTGGGCCGCTCAGAAGGCGCTTTTCGGGAAGAAAACACTCCATCAAAAGGTGGCTTTTGGAAGCTGGGTCCCAGCTCGTGGGGTCGCAATAGCCGGCCAAAATCAGCACGGAAATCGAAGCGAAGCGGATCCGGATCAGAAAGCCGTCCCTCGAGCTCAACTTCGACGTCTAGTGCTTTCTCTGCGTCAATTTTCAGCCTTTCTGGCGCTTCCAAGTCTCGTCCATCATCTACGCAAGATGCGCAGACTTTCATGTTCCCCGAGCCAAGCTTGTCTCTAAAAGAGAATCTGCCACCAGCGCGATCACAGTCTAGCTGTGCCGTATACGGCATCGCAAAGTCTCAAGAGTGGCTGCCATCGGGCGAAAAAGCGCTGGAAACGATAGCAAGACCTGCTCAGTCGCATCAGCGCATGTCATCGTCGACGATCGAGACTCTGGCCCGAGGCAGAGGTTCGTTCTCGCAGTCAGAGGCACACATGGCCACCGCACCATCTTCTCCCCTCCCGAGGTCGCCATCATTGGCAAAGCAGGAAGGAACCATGCCATCGGCAGAACGTGGACCTGCCTCCGTTCTGGCTCTACTTGGCCCCGTTGTACCAACCGCAACGAGCTTTGGCACCAAGCCATTTGCGGCACCTCGGTCTAGTTCCGATAGTCAAGCGCGGACGAGCAGCACACACAATACAAGCATATCGCCTGGCACCTCGACTACATCGTTAGGCTTGCGATCGACTAGCAGTGCGACTTCTCTTCCAACCTACAGCACAGCACCGAGCCCCCAGAGCGTCTTGGGTGCGGGCATTCATGGCATGTCCCCCATCATTTCCAGCGTGACTGGCAAGGTGGCGCTGCATTCCTCGACGGAGGGAGCTTCTACTGTGCAGAGCAGCCGCAGTTTGTCAACGCCGACTCACTGGCGCGGCAAAAATTCTGAACCGGCAAGCGGTCGTCCAGAGTCGGATGAGGAGAAGGAAGAAATGGATCCCGAACCAGAGGTGCTTCATAGCGAGTCGTCCGACGACGAGCATCCGATGGACTTTCTCGCTCATGGAAGTAGGATGCCAAGTTCGGGCGTTCGAGCAAAACCCCGAAGCAGGCCAGGCAGTAGTAGCTCTACGACTTCAGGGCACTCGCATCGGCTAGACTCTGCCGGCGTTCCAGCCTGGGCGCTCCGCAGACCCTCTTCTCGGCCCACTAGTCGTGAATCGCGTCCCCCCACGGCAAGCGATGCCGCAGTCGCAGTCGCAGCGGCAGCAGCCGCAGCCATGCCGTACTCTGCCCACATGCTGCCAGGCAGGCGTGATGAAGCTGTGAAGTCAACGCTTTCAAGCGCTTCTCTGCGGTCCCTCGGAGACGGCAATGTCTCTGAAACGTCTTTGCTCAGTCAAAGAGATCTAGCTGCCAGCAACTCCATCCCACCGGGACGAGCGAGCCCACCGCTCTCTGCGCACGCAGCTCATTCTCAGCCTCCGTCGCCTGCTGTGTCGGAAAATAGCGTGTTCAGCATGCAAAGCTCACGCAGTGGTGTGCCAAGCGCTCACTCGCATCTGACGCAAGCTACACAAGCCCGGCCAGGCACAGCACCGACGGGAGTGATGACGCCCACATTTGGACAGTGGACGAGAACGGTCGACCCCAAGGCCAATACCAGTACCACTGGCCCAGCCCTGGCTTCTTTGCAAGCCCCCCATGCACCACCCGCTGTGCTTTCTCGCAGAGTCAGCAGTCCCCCCGTTAGCCCATCCGCAGCTTTCAATTTGGCATCTTCAGCGAGACAACCTCAAGCTCACTCGCCATTTGGCGCCACGACTGCTTTCTCGATCAAACGCTCGCCATCTGTGGCCTCGCAGACATCCCAAAGTGTTCGCTCTACTGCATCTCCCAAAGAGCATGCTTCGCCGAAAACTCAACACGCGCAGCTACCCGCCACACATCATCACGATTCCTACTTTGGGGGCATGAAAGAGTTTGCGGCGCAAGAAAGCGCCCCTTTCTCTGACCTCGACTCGCCAAGGTCTCGCACCGTGTCGGTCCCGGCAGAGCGCAGTGCTCAGCCCTCAGCAACACACGCTGCCGAAGGTCGCTTGGTACCGCTTTCGAAGGCGCAGCTCATCGCTTTGCAACACTCTCGCAAGCACGGCCTCCCAAGCTCGTCTCAGCAAAGTCCTCGTGGCTCGATTTCCTCTGGCAACACCGACACGGGTCTGGTTCGGAATGCCCTGGATGGCACACCAAGCTTGAGCACAACGGTTGCCAAGAGCTCATTCTTCAGCCGCGTCAAGGCGGCTGCAGCCAATAACGACACTGCCATCAACACCTCAAGTTCACGACGACCCTCTCGGGGCGTTGCGCTGCCAGGCAGCATTCACAGAAGCGAGTCACCTGCTGCGTCGCTCTCGAGTTACACTTCTTCACAAAGGTCAAGCCCTGGCGAGCTGCGAGGCGGGTCGCCATTTGCTCCTCACATGTCAGGTCGAGCGTCTCGAGGTCAACCATCGAGTTCGCGAATGAATGCAAGTGCGCACATGGACTTTAGGGCTGCGGAGGCAATGGTCTACGACCCAGGCTACGCCAATAGACCCAACCATGGTGGAGCACCACAGAGTCACGATGATGACGCCGATCGAACTCCTAGAAAGCGCGGATCGGGGACATCGTGCAGGACCTCTGAATGCGGTAGCTTGATTTCGATGGCTGAGCTCACCAAGACACCAACAATGCCGCCGCTGGCGAACGCGGCCTCTCTTCCTCCGCCGAACTTCTCTCTGCCCAGCAGCTTCGTCAACAATCACCGTCGAGGCGACGATCAGCGTGATTTGGCAGACGACGGAGCTGGAGGAGTGGTTTCGCGGACTGTGAAAGATCCAAAATCTTCGCACGTTGAAGATACGTCTGCGAACGACTCGAGCGGTAGAAAGCCTCGTCCACTATCCTTTAGAGTGCTGTCCAGCCTTTCCAAGAAGAAGTCGCAACATTGGGACAACCTACCAGCTCCCCCGCCAGTCCCTGCATCTCACGTCGAGCCTCAGGCACAATCTGGTATGCGCGCGAACGTCTCTGTTGCTAGACCTCGACCCCTGACCGCAGGTGAGGGCAGCGGCAAGAAGCGGCTTCCTAATTGGCTGCATTCATAGCTGCATCATGGTCTCTTTAGCGCGCATTTCTACTTTCTTTGCCCTGGTCTTTCCTGCATTTGTTGTTTATACCAGGTTGTTGATTGCGTGTACAAGTAATTTATTGCTGCGGAACGACGCCGTCATACCATCTATCCCTTGTTGCCTTGTTCCCTCCGGACCTGACAGACGTGAATGTAATCATTGGTTGTGAAGCCAAGAACCTCAAAGCATTGCCTATGACGCCAGTCATAAAGGTATTCTTATCGCATTCAAAAGTGACGAGCATTTTCAGACAGGCTTTTCCATTGGTTCATATTCTGATCGGTACACGGTCCGGTAGGGTCCAAGTCAATACCTGTAATCTATGATAGATTCATGACGAGGCGCGAGTTGCGAAAATGTAGGAAAGTGGTTCAGATTTTGACACCCTTGACGCGTGACTACAGTAGCTCCAACTGCGATGCGCCGATCGCACACATCTCGCACGGACACCTCGAGGTGCTTGTGACGTCATGTCATGCATTTGCTGTGCGATCGATCATGCCCCTTCTCACGACTTTGCGGCGTTTTGACCGTCACGCGACGTGTGCGTCTCGGATGCTTCATGCAAGCTAGCTGCTGCATGCTCTGCCGAAGTCTTCCGCCTGCCATGATCAAATGAAAGAATCTGGAATGCAGTCGTGGTTGCGAGCGACTCTTTTCTGGCTTTGTCGCTCAATAAAACCAACGGTTGCTACGGCATTACAAAAAGCGCTCAAAACTTCTTCTCCGCCACTTCCACCATCTCACGGACGCACCATCACGCAAGCAATTGTACACCTCTCTGAACAACTCATTCCAAATTGCCCCCTCTTTAACTTTGGGACGAGATGCAGACCACTTTCAACGACAAGATCCCTACGGAAGAGGAGAGGATTAAGCAGAACAAGGAGCGCGCACAAGCTGGCGAGCCTCAGTTGCCCGGATCTGCTGGTCGTCAGACCGTCGCAGACAAGGACCCGAGCCGTGAGTCATTGGGGGGCCCTTCAAGAGCTGAGCCCAACGTTCTCGCACAATGTGATGCGGCGCAATCATTCTTCACGAGCGATGCAGCTCTGATGTACAGTCCGCCCAATGATTGAGAGCCTCTGGCTACATCTGCGTCAATCTCAAAACGGTCCTGTCCTCTCTCCCAAAGGCCTGGGCGCGTGCACAGCCTCGCCAAGCCGTCACGAGCTGACTCGCGACCTCTTCACCTTCGCACAGAGCACGATGCCACCACTGGCGGACCGGGCAGCGAGGGTCCCGCTCCAGTGACCAAGCCTCAAGTCTAAGTGCAATGGGACACGAACAGAGGTGCCTTTGTGAGTATCCACGAGCTACCTGCGCGAAGTTTGCGGCGAGCGAGTGACGTCGTGCGCTGAAGTACCGAATTGATGGTCATGATCCCCTTGCTTCTCGCAGATGTACCTGCGTATCATCCATCTGTCGCCTCGATACGAAGCATAGCATAGCAATACAAAATCTTTCGAGCACGCATCAATCAATTTTCCAAAGTCGCATGCGCATGACAAGCTTGTGAGCCTGCGCGTGTGTAAGGAATGTTGCGTCGTGTGTGAGATCCACATTCTACAGGAAGATGTATGACCAAAATCCGACTACACTGCCGCTGGTCCCCGCCATAGAAATTGTAGAGATGAAAGACTCCAATCAACAAAATTGAAGAGGAAGAGACGCTTGCTAGAGCATCTTCCTGAGCCGTTCGTCCGGATCCTGTTCCAGAGCAAGTTTGACCTCGTCTTCTTGGCACGCAAGCATGAGTCTGGCCATCGAGCCCGCTCTTCCAGGTGCAGCTCCGGAGCCGACGGCTACGGCCAATCCCAACGCGCATAGGCTCGTCAAGGGGCTGTCCAATTCATCCATCGTGAAGCTCGTCACGGTAGATGCAGCAAGTGGGGTCGTAGTGCTCTTTGAAAGAGTGGCGCGCAAGGGTGGCAATCCCGCGTTCCTGGTGATGCCGTGCATCCCGCACAGTGCTCGATGATGCGCCAACACATCGCTTGTGCTCACCTCGACTAAGCCCAGCCTTCTTAGGACGGAAAGCAAAGAGATGAGAAGAATTTTGGCGTGCAGCGATACGGAACGTATGTGGGCTACCTTTCCAGACTTGACCAATGCAGAGAGAATCTCGATCATGTCGGCAGGTTGGACTGGCGGTGCTGGAAGTGTTGTCGATTGGTCCGATATGCCGGTGCCAGACGAGGAGGAGCCTAGGTATCGAGTCTCTACCAGCTCCACCCCTCTTCGACATACGTCGAGCATTCTGCGAGCATCGCCAGACACGTTTGCGATCCTCTTTGAAGCGTATTCGATAGCAGCTTTGCTCATCACCTTTTCGCATCCGAGGCCGTGCTCTTGATCCTGCAATTGATCCGGTAGCATGCCAAGTCTGGATTGCACGATCTCTGCCAATTGATTCGCTCGATACGGCTCAAACGGAATCCTGGTCAGACCCAATCGACTGGCCACTTTTGCGCTCAGCGTGCGTTCCGGCAGATCCATAGTGTTGGCAACAGCAAGCACAATCAATCTGCTCCCTCTCATCGAGGGCCAATTGAAAAAATTGTACACCACTTCTTGCTTGCTAGTCACGAGTTGGTCCAGTTCGTCCATCAAGACTACGGTCGTCGCTCGAGCCGCACCTCTGCCGCTCTCAAAATGGGTCCCAAGGTGCTTTAGAGCCGCTTTGTGACCGATGTTAGGGTCTTTACCTCCTCCCACCGCAGCCCAAAGTAGCGGATATGCTTGACTCGCATCCGGTAATTTCATTCCGTTGATCTCCACAAAATTGAAGGGGCTTATCTGACCCGCATCCGCTCTCTTGGTCAAGTGTCGCACCACCTCTCGCACAGTAGCCGTCTTGCCTGTGCCGGGTACACCGGCTACGTAGACGCAGCCCCCGATCCCATCCTGCACCGCATCTTCGACGTACGACAAGACTTCTTCAAACTCCTCTTGTCTGCACGGTAGCTGTTCGGGTGTAGCTCCTACGTGCAACAAGCGTCGCGCTCGTGTGTGCGCGGAAAGCTTGGACAAGTCTTCTTTGGAGAGCTCCTTGAGCTGAGGTGCTCGCGCTGGTAAAGTGGCAAAAGACGTCGTTGCTGAATGGACCTCGAGTATCCTCTTTCTTCGTGGTGTCACGTTGGGTGTGGAAGTTTGTGATCGCGTGGGCGTATCGATCACCCCGCCGAGTGCTCGTCGTCTGACCGGTGTTCTCGGTACGGCGCGACTAGTCTTGGACGCCCTTCGTTTGCGGTGTCTTTCGAGTATTAAATTGTCCCTCCCCTCGTACTCTTCATCGTCATCCTCTTCGCTTTCATCTTCGGCGTCCGAGACTGCAGCATCCATATCCACAGAACTCTCGTTCGTGCTCGACGATTTGTATCCATCTGCAGATCCCCCCGCTTCGTCGTCCGAGTGATTGGACGCTCCAGAATCAGAAGTCGCTTCGTCTGGCGTAGCTGCGCGCTTTCTTCTGGTTGGTGTGGAAAGGGTCGTCCGTGCACGTCCAGCGGGTGTGCGCTTCTTGGGCGTGACCTTACTGCTAGAAGATCGTGCGCTACCCTCTCTAGAAACAACTGCTCTGCGTCGAGGGGTCTGAGGTAGCTCTGCGGTCCTCTTCGGGTTCTTCTCTTCCATCTCTTTCAACTCCTGAGGTCTAAGACCCGCATCTTTCAAAGCGCTTCCGTCTTTCTCTACAAGTTCCCAACCTTTTCCCTCCACCCCTCTTTTTCGTACTTCTTCCCAATCTAGCGACCAAAAGACGCCCCTTTGGACATCCACTGCTCGCTCGACGAACAGAACGCTCGGTGTGGGTGCAGCCTTTGGACGCCTTCCCTTTGACGACTTAGGCTCGATTGGCGGCGTAGGCGCTTCGGCTAGGCGAGCTTGACATTCTTTGAACGAATTGCAAATGGGAGCATGACCTAAGAGATCCGCAGCTGGTAGAACCAAAGCTTGGGCATCTTCTTCGTCATCGTCATCATCATTGTGCGCCTCTGCATTGCTAGATCCTGCTCCGTCCGCTGCTGTGTCCTTGTCCTCATCGACCTGGGCAGAGGTTTGCATTCGCCTACGTCGTTTGCTCGGACGGCCCAAAGTCCTGGCTATAGCTGGTGCGGTCTGCGGATAGAAGAGCTCATGCTGGGTATTGACGAAGGTGACAGAATAGTGAGCCCCTCGATCGAACCCTGTGCTTACCAGGGACTCCAAGCGACGGACTAGACCCATCCTCGCATCGCCCCCCAACTCCTTTCCTCTTTCACTCTACATCTTCCCTCGGACGCGCAGTTCCACGCCTCATCACGAGACTCACCTCATCGATCAGGTTTCCCATTGCTCTGGACGTGCTAGCTGCCAAATCGCTTCCTCTCAAAAACACTCTAGCACTAACAAAGATTGCCGCTCTCGTGCTACCCGCAATCTCCTCGTCATCCCAAACCACAAAGTCTGTGAGGACGGCGACATCGGGTCTTCCGGATGAAGTTCGTAGGTATACCACATCGCCCCGTTTGAAATGGACCGGTAAAGTGTGGATAAAGTGTTGGAATTTCTTGGTGGAAGAAGAAGAAGAGGTGGAGGAAGGATTTGGAAGGATGGGAATGGCATGGATGGAGCAGAAGGAGGCTCGAGGTGCTCCTTGAGCATCCCGTATGCCTGAACCGCTTGGCGTGAAAGTGTAAATGGGCGCTGCTGCTCGTCCCATCTTCACTTTGCTGTTGACCGTCGAGAAGATGTGGCTTGGCCAATCCTTGGCCCTCTTGAGTCTCGATTGAATGCTGCGGATGAGCCCGGATGGGATGTATGCGTTGCAATTGTATCCAGTCTCAACCCTGTCGGTTAAAGGGCAGCTAGTCCAGGGGATTCTGAATTTGCAGGTTCAAGTGGTTTGGTTGTGTGAGGAGGACCGAGACGAGACGTTGTCCGCGCTCGTCTACCCTTGGCGGATGCTTGATGCAGCAAGGCGGAGCATGAGAAGCGCGCCTCATCAGCGCGACCAGTAATTTTGCGTCGCTGGTGACTGTCGAACGCACCCACGAATCACGGATCAGGCTACGGGTCAAGTCGAGTCAGACTCATGACCCATGCAACTGAAATGTTTGGGTGCTTCTTCTCGACGTGGCCACGGACGAGAAAGGACATGCAGAAGCTAGCACTCGAAAGTCAGCGGGCAGCCGTGACATTCGTGATTCTGCACCGCGTCCGAGCAGTCCCATGCATGCGCGTGCGATGCCACCTAGCTGTTCACACGAAGCATTCACATCTGCGCTGGGTGATTCGGCCCATCTTGCAAGTCTCTGCTCACACGAGACTCAACGATTACGAGCGCAAATCCAGGGCAGGTGGAGCCAAGCGTCAATCATGCTTCTAGAGGCTCACCAAAGAATCCGCAACGCAGCCTCGGTTCATACAAGGAAACATGCATGGTGGAGTAGCTCTGTGACAAGAGTCGCGTAACATTAATTGATGAAGAGTGAGAAGGAAGAACACGCTTGCGGGTCGAGGTCCAAGGGCTCCCATCAAGGCACCTCGTCTGAAAGGGCGTACAAGGCGACCGCGTCAGGTCCGGAGAGCTTGCTTTCGTACGCGTGAAATCGGCCCACCATCCAACTTGTCCCGGTCGGATACCTGTTGCTGCTGACAGAGACAGACAAGTCACACCTTCCCTTCGCACCTCGCACCTGCTGGCACTTAGCTGAGCGGCGCCATCAAGGTCATGCTCGATCCCTGCTGATCTTTGCCCCTCACGTCTTGCATACTTGGCTCAGCGCCAGCCAGCAGCGCTGTTGGGCCGCGAGATGGTGGGCGTATTGGGTCGACTAGGATAAGGCGTATTTGGCAAGATCTTGAATCTCAACCGATGAAGCTGCGTGGCAAAGTAGCCAGTCGTGAAGCATGAGCAAGGGATCACCATGACGCAAGCAGTGTAAAGATCTTATCCCTGTGGCCAGAATTCAAACTCACCATTGGAAGCTTGGGAATGAGAGAGAAGACGGTGGCGCAGAAATTGAGGGCGAAAAGGTAGAGATTGTACCTTGTGTAATGTGTGGAGATCAAGAATCTTTGTGAGGAGAGAGAGGACGAGAAGCAGGACGGAGTGTCAGCTGCGGCTCTCAGACTTTGAGCGCTGGCAAGTTTCGCAGTCTGGTGCCCCCACAAGAAAAGCGCCAACTCACAGAGCAATAGGAACGCTGGTGAGCCACTTTTTGGCAGGTGTGTACTGCGCTCCGTGATCGATTTGTTCCCAAAGCGTGTAAGCATCGTACGCTCCGCCGTTGCTTTCGAATGGCGTCCCCTGGACGTGGTGAAACATGATGTGCGAGATCTGAGAAACGTGAAGCATTTAGAAAGCGTCAGCGAGCAGAACACAAGGTTTTGAGCCCCGCACGATGCTCGAGTGGCACCTAGGTGGTAGAGCCTCCACACTTCCTTGGGCAAGTCCAAAGAAGGAGGCGTGGGGCGCAGAAGCGTCTGCCACGCCTTGTCGTCCAGGAGTCCTCTGGACTGTATGCAATTCGTCTATAGCATGACCCGACTCACAATGATGTACCCCAGATTGACAATGGTCCAGCTGATATCCTGACTAATACCGGGAATGCATTCGACCAGAATCTTTCCGGCAATGATGAGAACGACATGGATGACCCAAGCACCTTTATAATTGACCCACTCCGCATTGGGATTGAAACCAGCCGATTGATCCAACAATTCTACAGGAGAAAGTTGAATCTTTTCCACATGAACCAGACTTCCGCTCCTTTTCCTGTTGTAGTTGTCTGGTCTTTTGACTCCGCCGGTGCCCGGTGCTGAGGACCTATCACTTGTGGAAATGACTGAACTCACAACCGGAAAGTTGGCCGGGTCGCTGGATCCGGAAGGGAGTGGACTCGTCACGTTGATACCCCCCGCTTCGTTATCGGTGCCAGAGCCGAAGGTGGGAGGATGAGTTTGGATGACATTGGAAGAGGCTGTGCGAGGTGCGGCGCTTGGTGGTGTCACTGTTAGGCTGGGAGGAGCATTAGATGCCGATGGCGGGGAGCGCGAACCGCGATGATGTGTCGTAGTCAGCGTTGGTGAAGGCACAGGCGTGCCGGAAGCAGAAGAGGATGACGCCATTCCGATGCTCAAGTGTTGCGTTGGTGACTGCGGGTATGCGCTGTGTGAAGGGCAGCAGCGCAATGACTCCGACCTTGGCCTCTTGTTCGTATGTTAGACGATGAGCTGTAGGTTCTGTACAGCTCCGCTTACGACTCGAGTCGGTCGATTGCAAGGAATAGCGAAGTTATGGTGCGGACAAGCAACAAAAGGGGTGAGGGTGGATCGAGCTTCGTGATTGCAGTGATAGTCGACTGTACCTACGGGCTATGTGCGACTCGAGACTCTCAATGGGAAGAGGTATATGCGTACATACGTACATCAAGCTGTGCTGATGGACTCGGCGTGTCTCGAGTCGTGAGTCGTGAATAGAGGACAGGCTTTCGCTCTCTCTCGTGCGCGCTCGCGGCGCTTGATCGAGTAGCCCGTACGGCGACGAAATTCCGCGCACACGGTCACCCACCGCGCGCGCTGCTGCTGCTGCTGCTGCTGCTGC